AAAGCACATAAAATAAACAATTAAATTTTATTCGAGGTTCTCTAAGAAACAGTCTTGATATGGAACAACTATAAGAAAGTTATCTATGTGACTAAACATACATTAAAAATATGCGCAACAAAGAAAAATCTAGTTGAACTTTCAATGAAAGAATATCTAGATGAAGAAGAAAATACAGATACAAATTCAAGATTAGATAAAATCGAACGTAACAATTACATTGTTCAACAACCTCCTTGCGATAATGACGCGTAGGATAAAAAGTTCAAATTTGTCTATGCACCACATACACCAAGCGACCTAGATCCCACGAGAACTAATGTCAAATATGATAGTTTGTTTAACTGCCGTTTAATGCTGTTAACTGAAGGCTTACGAGATCATAATCTGACTAACTCGGACTATTGTAATCTGTTTCTTTTTTAAAGTGTTTTGTAAAACTTCTCACAGCATCTTTAAGATCTGTATCTATTCTGTAAGCTTCTAGAGTGGCCTTGTCATCTTTATCGAGTTCTGATTATAAGTATTTCTTGGATGGAATTCTTGTCTTCTTTATGTAATTTGTATGCATCACTACTTTGCATTTTTTTCCCTAAAGGCGATTTAGGTGTTAAAATCTTTGTAGAAACATCTTATAACTCAAAACTTCGAGGAAGAGATATCTCTTTTTTATGTCATAGGTTGGCCAACGAGCAGACGGATTACCTGATAGTATCTAAGCAATCAACCCCACCCATGGATACTGGTAATACTAAAGGGGTTACTACAAGTGCGTTGCCGGCCTCTTGTAATAGAGATAGATAGAGATAAACATACATACATAAATTCACCTCTGAGTTTGTTTCGGCATTTCTTCTCAGAGTAGTTAGATAGGAAATTAATGCCGGCTTCATCTAGTTTTTCACATATAAATTGACGAGTAAAAGTGCCGTTTTATGGCCCATTTGCAAAAATAAATTCATTGTTTCATAAATAGAGCACTACATAAATAGAGGATGTAAGATATGAAAATTTGAAAATTGAGCATGGGAGGGAGACGATAGGGCCTCTGGTTAACCTCACTTTCATAGCTAAACACAAGGTAAATGTTGCTTTACGCCTGTTTTCTGTAAGGCCATGTCATCACTCCCGTTCCATGCCAGCCAGAGCCAGCCCATTCATGCCTAAGCATGAGTCTTCCAAACTAACTTCTCACAGTATGGTACACAACTTTTATAAACCAACGGAAATTTTAATCAATAGTAGGATATATTTTTGCACGATTGACTGTAATAATGTTATGCAAATATCTCACACCGCAGAAGGCTGTATGTATCACAAACAGATCAACATTTCGCAAGGACAAGAGATCCCATCGATACTTCCGGGTCCTATCTGAGAACGAGGCCGATTGCGATTGCGCGTGCGCAGCGATACTAGATCTGTAGATGTAGTACAATACAATATCGATACCGATGTGAATTTTGATTTGTAAAATGAATGAGTAATTGTTTTGGACTATTTGTTATGCCTCGATGTCTTTTTTTAAGTGTATGTTTTTGTTTAGTGTCTCCATTAAAATAATCAATATATCCTTATTACATAATTAGATTAAATTCACAGCAATTTTTGAATATGTATAAAAGTGTGTTTATATTGAATTCAATATTCTTTCTAATTGTATTCTGCAAATCAATATCAACAAATGTCTTTGGAACAAATCCTTTACAATGTTTAACCAATTTAACCATTAATTCACCGAATCTTAAACAACGACCTACACTTCTACTTCCGAGTCCTGACTGGGAACTGGGACGATTGCGTCAGATCGTGCTGACAATCCCCCCTCCCTCCCACTAGTCGGGTAACATGACATGACCTACAAGCCTACGAAGGTATTGCACGCAGATCACAAGCTGATTGTTTAGGTTCAAAATGTGCCTGGATATATGTAATTAGTTGAGTGAAGAGGTTCTTTGTCCTAAGAAGAGTAATGCTTTGATGCGGTGGCTGGGCAAAAGGCTGCCATGACACGTGTCGATGGTTCGATTCCCGCACGTAACAATTTTTTGTGTGTGTTTAATTATATGTTTGTAAACGCACGGCACAGGAGAAAATCCTAGTGTAGGGCAACGTTTTTTTATTATACTATAAAATCAAAATTGGGTTTTAGTTCTATTCAAATTAGGAGGTATGGACTCATAAAAGCTTCTAACAACATGATGTTGTAAATTTATTTATTTTAAATGTAGAAAATTACGTTTAAAATAAGTAAAAGCTCGATGAAAATAAGAAATATTTGCACGAGTCAACCTAATAACGATGCTCACGGTATCGAAATATTTTGCTCAAACTGAAAATTTACTTTATCACAAACGCATTATGGACACCATAATTTTGGCGCTTAATAAATCTTAAAATGGACTTCACTTTCAGTATTATGATTATTGACCTTCATTATTTTGCCACTAAATTTTGAACGAGTTGAATGAGTCACAGTACAAAATAGTTGCTGTAAGTGATAACCATTAATATGATAATGTCGTGTTGTGTTGCAATGCCCACTATATTTGAAGCCTTGCCCACGCGCTGCCCGCCCGTGTACCCGTAATCTAGATGTATGGTACTTACAGTTTAATAGAAATAATTTCATAAATAAATTATTATAAGCATCGTGTCGTGACTGGCATTATCTGACCGCCTGCGGGTTTAAAAAATATGTCTAAAATAACTTTTTGTTGTGTGGGCTGTAGAATAATTTTGTAACTTCTATTTAAATTGAATGTTTAAATTGAAAATTCTATTTAAAGTGCTTTAAGTTCATTTTAAATATTGAAGGCTTCTTACATATTTAAGTTAAGGGTCATATCTGATTTTGATCAAATAAAAATTAAGTTCATTAGCAGTTGGTCATTGATCAACTACGAACGTCTATACATTTCACTTTTGAATAATATTTTATTTTCAATGCGTGATTTGGCATTGAACTTAGGATATACTATGTATTATCGTTTTTAGTTTCCAAATCATGCATCTCGTAAATACATAGGCGTCACATAACCAAGTTGTCCATGATTATACAACATGAACTCTCAAGTTTTTCGTAAAAATATAACCCCGCGCTAGCATTTTCTCCCTTGTCTTAAGTGCATTTACAATCAATGACAATCATAAACATGACACTGAGATAAGGATAAACTATTTCTGGATCACACAGAGTTGTTCCGTGTGGGAATTGAACCCAAGCACCCTGTTGCCCAGATACGGCACCAACCGTGAAGTGAAAAGTTCATCATCATCATCATCAGCCTATAAGTTGCCCACTGCTGAGCAAAGGCCTCTTCTCACACGGGGAAGGTTTGAGCATTAATCACCACGCTTGCTCAATGCGGGTTGGTGATTTCAAACTTATAATTAGAAATTACAAGTCCAGGTTTCCTCACGATGTTAACCTTCACCGTATGTCAGTGGTGTCTAAGTAATCATAGAAAGTACATATAACTCGGAAAAAGTCACATTGGTACTTGCCAGGTTTCGAACCCACACCCTCATGCATGGAAAGCGGGCTGCTTAACCTCCGGGCCACCACGACACTTTAAGTCAAAAGTTGTATATACTGTATCTACATTTCTATACATTAAGTACGTATGTACCTACGTACATAGATACATATGTACATCAGCTGAGCGGTCGCTGGCGTCCGCTTCCCGCGAAAGGTTTCACTTTTCGTTCTGTATAAACCATCCGAGTTCACTTTCGTGGTTTTCTCTAACGAGCAGTTTAACATTCGTTAGGTAATTTTTAACTACGCGAGAATTTTAATAGACAACTGTTTCGTGTTTATTCTTAACTGCCATGTGAAATATTTTAACGTTTTCATATTGTTTTCACGTAATTATGAAACATATACATTTTACGTAGCCATATTTAAGTTAACTGTTTTTTTTTTTAATAATTCTAGGTGTGAAGTATTATGAATTAACCATGAAGTAATTTAATTTAAAGCTGTTTAAAATTTTCCAATGTTGAGTAAATATATTAATAAAATTATGAATAAAGTCATTGAATTAAAATATTACACTCATTGCAATAAATTAGCATTCGGATTTCGTAATTTGCCAAAACGTTCATATACCTAATTTATGTGACAGTTGCATCTCTGATTAAATTAATTTGTAAAATACGAAATTTTATAGCAATTTAATAGATGTTATCGTAATGAAATATATTATAACAGTATGACAAAATTTAAGTTGCATGGAAATAATCGTAACAAAAAAATGCATGGTTTAAAATATTATTTTCTATTTGGTTAACCCTGTAAGATCGAAAGTGTGAAAATACCACAAGCCCTATAAAATACATAGAATAAGGTCGTTGACCCGGACAACCAGTTGTCCTTTCCGAGTGCGACTGACTAGACCTAGGCATTAATCTTATTGCCTAACATTTCTAGAATATATCACATTTGTTCACTTTCATTTTATTTCAAGTCCTTGAATGCAAAATAAGTTCAGAGTTGAAATGTGCTGCATTCGTTTCATTGTTGGTTTAACGTAATTACTGACTATTTTTAACCTTACTTCACTTAAAAAATGTGTGCTATTTCAAGAACTTTAATGCACGTACTTTAATTTCTATTGTTTTAATTTCCCAGAGCTAACGTACACACGAAATATTTTTCCGCGAAAATTTTAAAATTAAATTTAGAAACAGACTTAAGAAACTTTCAAAAATGATTTTCTATTTTTTTTTAATCAATGTTTAAAGTTTAACTAAACACTTGCATACAAACATACATACAAGCAGCTTTTACAATGCACAAAATATCAACTTGTTGCAATTATTCACATGCAAAACAATGAACGCAGAAATGTGGCTTAGAACCACCTTACGATTACGATAGATGTTCTCGTGTTATCCCACAAAAAATAAAAACCACTGCATCACTGGAGCGCGTATCCGAAATCCAGAGGGTGCGTTCTAAAACCACAATATCTGCACTTAATTTTGACACTTACGTAAAATTTGGCCGCCATTTTGGGGTTAAACTGTCACTAATGTCACTCGCGAGGCATGCACATGCGCGAAGGGTACGCGCCGAATGGCGGCCAAACGAAGGCGCTCACTATATAACCTCCCCCCCAAACTATTATTATATTAATTACATTCAATGTTTTCACTGCACGGCGTCGAACGGCCGATCTGGATCATTTGCTTCCTAAAACGATAATCCCGAAATACGGAATTTTAAATGGCCCGTAGAAAGTGTTAGACGCACTCTTTGCAAGACGTTTAAAAGCCGTTATTATTATTTTTATTATTGCTAATTACGCAAGTGATGGACGACTTTTACTGTTTTTTGTTTTTAATGTTTTATTCGGCCACTGTAACAAGTTAATTATTACAATGGCCTGTTCCTATGGCTTCCGATTTTGCTTATAACCATTACTATTACATTATTCTGAGTCACGAACCTCGCTAATCGTTTTCTATTTATTTAAAAGGCTGAAACATTATGTTTAATGAGTTACGTGTACTTTTACTTTCAATTGTAAGAAAATTAAGCTGGACGGCTATGTTTTATGCTCTATATAAATTCTGGTTTTTAATTTTTAAATTCGGCTTTTCTTATTGTCCTGCATTTCACTAGTGAAGTCTTTTGTGGGTAGGTATATTCTTCAATGTATGCAACTTTGAATACAATTACAATTTATTTTATTGGAAGAATCTGCTTCACCACATACAGTCTGCAAGCACGGCCATAGGTAATTCGAAATAAATATTTGTTCTTAAAAAGAACTTCATGTAAATCAATTGAAACTTTTTTTTTGGGAGGCGAAAATACGCAATTACGTTCCCTCGTCAGAATGGAATCAAATACAGGATGTATTTGATTCCATTCTAATGACTAAAACCAGTCCGTTCCTTCTCCTGCTCTAAGCCGAGGCCGCGGTACCTGATTGCGCTTGCCCCACAACCCCGACAAAACATCGACCCTGATGGACCCTGAGGATGTGGTGCTCTAATGGTTTTTTAAGGTTAAAATTGCTCTTAAGGCAGATTCATTGGAAGTACGTACGCATTACTATAAATAAACTAACAAAATAACCTTCAAACTACATTAATATTATATAAATACCCTGTTAATTTACTAGTATATTATGTATAGAGTATTTAGAATCATTGGACATATTACATGAGCTCAGCCTTGCTCTTAATTTCTAGTTACATATACAGAACCTTCAAGGGCTAAAGCTCCCATACCTTCAATGCGAATTTTAAGAAAGGTATAAAATTTTAATTAGTATTTTAGTCTATTTTTTAACATGAAATTGAGATGGCTATGCTATAATAAAAGATAAGGTAGGACACCCATGGCACATAGCATGTATAGCACACCATAAAAAAAACCTCTCTTTGTATGGTTATTGTCCTTAAGTAAAGGACACGATAGCGTAGCTTAACAATAGTGGTTTTTTTAAATGCTCATTTAATTTTGGAACCTGTTAAATACAAATATACAAACAAACAATCAAATCTTGATGAATAACTTATTCATAACATAGTGAGTTAAAATATGTATTATTTTAATTAATTTTATTGGCTTTCTTCTTATGAGATTCTTTCAAAAATCAAAAGTAATTTTATATTGAAAACAATATTTTGCAACTAAAGTTGGTTACCATCTCAAAACTAGATCATCTCGTAAATAACCTGACGTGACGATTCTCGATGCGCATGCGCATATTCGCGTGTTTAAAGTAGCATTACTACTTAATTTACAAAATTACGTTCTACTGTTACCAACGAATAAATTAGTAATTAAATAACTTATGTAACATGTTACATTGAAGTTGACTATGTGGGCTGCGTACGCGCAGTCGATACACTTTAGAGCCTGCAAACATGTTGATTTATTTTTAGACCTACTTTTAGTATAATAAACAGTGCTTAGGCAATGTTTTAATGAGTAATTTGTCAACATTGTAGCCTTATATAGTAGTTTATGTTTTAGATCCAAATATTATTATTTATTTTTAGCTTTATGCACAAGAAAATGTACCTACACAAGGTAGATTATATGCTTTAAGTATTCTCCACCATTCTGACCTTTGGGTGTTGCAGAGATGAAAACGGACCGTAAAAGAGTCATCAAATCATTTAGTTCTATGGCTTTTGTAAAATTGTCTTCTCAACTTTCTTACATGCAATTTGAACTATTTCTGTGATTTAAATATCAGTTAGTAACATGAGTGCAATCTTATCTTACTAATATTATAAAAATGCGAAAGTTACGATGTTTGTATATTTGTTGAAATTCGGTACAGCCATGGGATACACTCCGGAATAGGACATAGGCTACTTTTTATCAACATACCACGCGGGGGAAGCCGCGGGCGGAAGCTAGTATTAACATAAATATAAGACGTTGATTTCAGTGGAACAATTTTTTTAAGGGGCAGTACTTTAAAATGCATTCTTTCGTTTCTTTTTCTATTACTAGCAAGCTAGCCTGTTCCTTCCTCTGCACTCGTTCGAGGCGATACATTGCATTATTTACATTTATTCCATATTCCAGTGCAATTTTATCCAAGATAGAGTTCAAAATCAGGTCAACCAAACAGGATTGACAAATTAAAAAGTCTGACAGAAGGTAATTAATATATGTGAAAAAATTAAGTTATATTTGCAAGACAATTTATATTTAAAAACTAGATGAAGCCGGCATTTCCTATCTGACTACTCTGAGAAGAAATGCCGAAACAAACTCAGAAGTCCATGCAATGTGAAAAATAAAATAATGTGTAAAAACCGTTCAGGTTCATTCTGTAGTGATCTTTTGAGGAAAGAACCTCATTAGTTTAAGTGGACCCGTTCTGAAGATAGGCACGCAAGTCTCAGTTTGCAACCAGTATAGCTAATGCTGTTGAGTTGTCGGACGAACAATACCGATCAAAAGAACATTTGGGTGGGTCCAGATAAAGCCGCGAGCAAACAGCTAGTTTATACTACAATGGCAATCAAAATCCTGGTTCTTTCAAGTCGTTATGTCAAGAAATAACAACAATCCACTAATTACAAAAAATATGATTTATAATAATCGGTTTGACTGCTCCAATAAGGAAATAGCTTTTCAAGTTATAGATCACTTGAAATATTATTTAATCACATTTCAACAGGATGAAACATATGTAGATAATATGTACCGGTTAGATATTAATTGAGTCTCGGCAATGGTATTAATTAAGTATTTTTATAGTAATTATATTGACCGAGAATTTTAGTTTTAAACTTAATTTATTAGCAGTAAACACCTTGTGAATTTATAAATGCATACAAATGTCGTGGAGGTCCGGAAGTTAAGGCGCTGGCTTCTCACGCATGCGGGATCTAAACCTGGTACTAGTCTAAATTCATTTTGACACTACTGACAAACAGTGAAGGAAAACATCGTGAGGAAACCAGAACATAAAATTTCCAATTACAAGTTTTAAATCGATAATCCGCCTTTAGTAAGCATGGTGTAAGAAAACTTTGCTCAGACGATGATGATGATGAATTGAGTTTAGAGAGAATTACATACCCTACTATAACCTATCCTGCCCTACTATACCTTACTTAGCGTTCTATTTCCTACACCTTTCTTAGGTGGTAGTTACCAACACAATCCATTTCGTCATACAAAATTTCTCTTCAAAATTAATTGATCACACAACACAAAAATAATTAGCTAAATCGGTTCGGCAGTTCTCGAGAAATGTGCTTAACAAAACATTTAGAGATTCTTTTTTTAAACTATACATGTTATAACTCGTTATAATGTTTTATTTGAGTATCAGTGTGTGCTCCTTTATCTATTTACCTCTTTAAAAGCAAATAGTAGGTATTTAGTATCTAGTTTAGTGTACAAATACCAATTAGTAACAAATGCTAGAGAAGTCGACCGCAACTGTTTCGCCACTAGCCACCGACACTTGTGGTCGCTGCCTCGTATCCGCGTGGAGATAAATATCTTTTATTATAGAATATATTACTTTTATTATAGGAATATTAAATAGTTACAATCATTATTCTCGTATCTAGAGTATTTGTTGAACTATGTACGTGAACAGAAAGTCTTTGGAACGACTTCTACATAGAAATATAGAACACATTAGCCACGATTCGTGATGACATTATCATTTATGGAACAACTATTCTATTTTTGGACATTCCTCTTTCTCACCATAAGGTCTGATGACAACCCTATTACTTTTTTTTAAGAATGGAAAATCTCCAAATGGTTTCTCGCGCCCTGGGCGAGGCGTTAGTGAATGTCAGACTCTTACTGACTAAATACTATTCCGTTTTCTTCTTTCTTTTTACCTATCTTTCTTTCTATCCATATTATTGTCTTCGACCTAAGTAAAGAAAAATTTATGTTACATTGTTCACGCACGACTCTGCATTTAAAATCGTGATTTAATGACTTGTTATCAAAGATTATTAGAAATTGTCAAACGCCGTGTGTTAGGGGACACATTCCTTAGTTCTTATAATGAACAACACATAACACTTAGTTATAAAGCAAGTATACAGTTCAGTAAATCGGAATCGAACCTGTTGTAATTTACGTAAGAAATGAAGTAAACCCGTTAGTTAGCAATTATTTCAACTTATTAAGGCAGATATTATAAATTCCAGGAAATTCTTGAGAAATGTATGTAGATTCGATAAAACGAAATCAGTCATAAAGTTTAAAACGAAGTCTACATAGTAACGCAATACTATTTTAATATCTACTCATTCATTGGCAAGCTGAAATTTTTATAAAATCTAGTTGCTTGTTTAATTCATGTTTTTTTATAAATACAGCAAAGGAGCAGTTTTTTTGTCGATGGATAATCATCTCATGACTTCTCCCGCCCAGGGTGAGGCAAGAGGAAGTGTCAGACTCTTACTGACTAAAAACCCCCCGTTCCTTCTCCTGCTCTAGGCCGAGGCCGCAATGCCTCTTTACGCTTGCCCCGCACCCCGGCTAAACATCAGCCATATAGGGCCCGTCCGTGGTGGTCTATTGAATCTTTAAGGCGACTAATGAGCAGTTGGGGTTACAGTTGAAGACACTATAAATATGGTAC